AAAAGAGGGGAGGGGAAGGGAGCGGGAAGTACGGACACACAAGTCACAACTATCGACGTAACAGACTGAAGAGGGGCGAAAGCCCGAAACGCGTTTCTGTAAGAAGTAAATGTAGGTGATGGAATTATTTGCCAAGTGTCTATAAATGCACCAAGTCGTGACATAGAATCAGAAGAAACCATAGTAATTGTTATACAACACCTACCGCCAAGAATGATGAGAATCAAACGAACTATTTTCAATTTGATCAATTTTCTGGAACGTTTAAAATCGTTCTATTGAAATAATCGAACCAATATGCAATAACAAATTCGAATTTAAAATGGTTCGAACATTTGGTTAAAAAATCAAAATATATGAAAATATTTATAACAATGTCTGAAATGTTATCAATTTAATACTCCTAAGTACTCAATGAAAATTAAACGTAGTTGAAAACGAAAAATCTCATCTAAAATAGTAGAGTAGAAGCCGTTTTTCCGGTTAAGCCTTAATGCTCTCTCTCTCCCCCCTCGGGGGAATTACGAAAAATCCCTTCTTAATGCGCGTTTTCATGACGTACCCTAACTGTGTACCAAATTTCACCCCTTTAGGTTCAGTGGTTTGCTCTGGGCGATGATGAATCAGTCATTCAGTCAGTCAGGACAAGTAATTTTATATATTTAGATGAAATACTGTATTTGTTAGAATATGAATTTTATTACAAGTAATATACAATAATATTTAATTTTCAGATGAAATATTTTTATGAGGAATGTTCTTGCACATAAATAAGTAATATTCATAGATTTCCAAGAAATACTGTGTTTTTATTTACATAATTTAAGGATTGCTGTATACAATACAAACCAATATATTGATCCAAATCAAAATAGTGGATATTTTTATATTTACATTTTCTATAATGAGAAGGAAATTTCCTGAACATTGTATGTGGTAAGTGATTCTTCAGTTTATTATTCTCTATTCAAAATAATATGAGATCTGTTAGGTGTCCGTTGGGGGAATTTATAATATTTGATATTTTGTGCATTATCTCATATTCTGATTATGCCATTTACCTTATGACTTTATTATACTTTTAATACTAAGTTCTGTTAACCTGGCAGAGCTACCCAGATCTGAATAAGTGTATTTGTTTATGATAGATGGTGAGTTATGTAGCTATTCTTTCTGGAACTATCGAATAAGGTGGTGACGGTGAGATTAGCAGCCTTTATTTGCAATTGTATCTTGAAAAACTACTGCATGCATTCATGTTACTTTTAACTAAGGATCTTTTCTACTTACACTTTATGCAAATAAAGTTATATTTATTAGATACAATATTTATTTATATGTGGCTTTCCTTGATGGCAATGTAATAAGAAAATTGCTCGTGGATCCTGTGCAAAATCACAATGAACTGCCAGTAAATATGACTGATACAGATGAGGACCATTTGGAAGAAGCAGACGCTACCAATATTGAACAATAACTTAGTAGTGAGGGGGGACAAAGAAGATTTTTCAAGCAATTTACAAAGTGATTTTGATGGTCTTTTATAGTACAATGAATGTGTCTGGAATCGTGGTGCTATATTTAGGAAATAAGCGTCTTGGCATAGCAAGACACGTCTTGAAAAATTTTAGCCTTAAACCCGTGAAAGATCATGTCGTGACAAGAAGTGTATCTACCAAATCAAAAAGACAGCATTACCATCTGGACAAGTCATTACCAAAGAGAAACCCACAAAAAGAAAATGTAGACAAAGTCAAGAATGCCTTGAAAAAGACAAACTCGATATGTCTATGGTAATGTTTCAAATTCTCGGGTTTGGAGCATATTTCAGTTCTCTGTGAAAAATGCCCGAAAAGTACCACAGACAATTTCCAAGAAAGGTATGTGGTGTTATTAAATGTTATTGGCCCACCAGTGGCAAAGTGGATAAAACCACCAAACTTCAGTAATTGATTGTGGGATCATGATTCACCAACAGGCTGGACATGCCACAGTTTTCTTGAGTTTTCTTTGTATCTCATTCTGGAAGGCACCAGCTTGTGTTGGGGCCTTAACCCAAAAAATTTTAAACATTATTGTACATTATTTTGATAAGTTAGTGTTGAAATCCTTTGTTCTTCACTTCTGAAGTAATTCGTGCATTTTATTATGATAATTTACATTCAAGTAAATATTAAAATTTGTATCTATTTTTATATATCAAGAATTTTGATTGTATAAATAAATGCGTGTAACATCTAACAAATAGTTTTTACTTTAAAAATAGCTATTATCAGATTTTAAACAATATACCTGACCCATTATAACAAATTTCCTCAAATTGTTTGGCTATATAAATATAACTGAATATAAATTATTGAATATTGTATATTATAATCATTATCAATAATAAATAAAGTCACTTTTATACCACTTAAAAGAGATTTTTTTGGACAAATAAACCTAAATGTTATGTCTTTTGAATCTGATGCTCACTAGAGTTCAAGAATTACTCAGAAGACGATTAATTCTGATATTTTATTTAAATGCATTTCAAATAGGAATTCTTGCTGATCCCTCTTCAGTAAAAGTACAATCTGCAACAGAGCCTACACAAATATTTTGGACTCTTTAAAATCGGGGTTACTAGGATTGATTTTGAAGAGTCCAAAATATTGGTATAGGGCTCTGTTGCAGGTTGTATCTTTACTGAAGAATTGGCGTGAATTCTGATCTGAAACAAATTTAAATAAAATATCTGAGAATTAATCGTCTACTGAGTAATTCTTAACCTTGGGTGAGCATTGGATTCAAAGGACATAACATTTAGGTTTATTTGTCCAAAAATCCCCTTTTAAGTGGTTATAAAAAATGACTGATTATATCTGGCAAATATTGCTAATTTTAGCTTCATAATAAATAAGGTGTTATTGGTAATGATTATAACATGATTTAAACTTATTGACACACTTCTCCAAAAATATACTTGCCAGTTTTTAGCATAAACAATGATTACAACACACTTCCTTCACATGTACAGTACTTCACGTGTTTGTCATGTGCCATTTTGCTTATGTTGAAAAAATACTAATTAATATCATTGGCAAAGCTGTTGGAAACAACATATTGCTCTAACAATCAGATCTTCAATGAGGTTGTCTCCAAAACTTTTGTATCATTTAATTGCCATTTATTATTAATTATAACATAACATACTATATATATAATCAGTTGTTCTTGTGAAATTATTCTTCCTGCTCTAAAATTTCAAAGTGCGTACTCAAATAATTATAGCAGAAGTTTTCAGAATGTCCATGAACTCAATGGTGTTTATACATTGAGAAATGTCTTCGTTGTTTATATACATAAATACATTCTATTTGTTGTATAATCAAAATTGAAAAAATCTAGAGAATAACATTTGATAATTGATTTCATAATAATAAATATAAAATGACGTAAGAATATTGTTTTGACTATATGAACGACAAATACATTTATCTCATTTAATAAACTATATTACATTTATGCTAAGTTTTCTGCAATTGAATTTAATTAAAAAATCTTACTGTACATTACTGTAGAAACAAAACAGTGATGTCTACTATTGTCATCTTCCAGTTGGCAATGGCACTTGTAAATAACATTAATAGTCGACAAAATTTGATAGGATTTAATTTGTGTAGCTTGTAATTGCAATTGTATAAATAGTTTGTGTGATGCAAATCACATTTTCAATATTTAACCAAACAGTTTTTCGATATCTTCGATTGTCTTGGGACAGTGAGTCGTAAGTACTTCGGGTCCGACATCCGTCACCAGAATGTCGTCTTCTATTCTTATTCCCAATCCACGATATTTAGAGGGAACCCTTTGGTTATTTTCTCTAATATAGATCCCTATAATGTATTTAAGTATTAGAATAAAGTAATTTGTATATCTTATCAGAATTTGTAAATGATAATGATAATCATACCTGGTTCAATAGTAATGATCATTCCCGGTTTTAGCTTAATGCTTCTAGATATGAGAGTGGTGTCATGAACGTCCATTCCCAAATAGTGTCCGACATGATGAGGACAATAATTATATGCAATCTATAAAAGTAATTTTGTTAATAAGTCCAAAATGTTAAAAATAAACTCAATTTAAAACATTTCTTTTTTAAAATTTATTACCTTTCCTAATTCAATTTTTCCTATGTTTGTAGAGACTATTCCAAGTTCTTGTAACTTTGATCCTACTAATTGGCACATGGCATGAAACAGTTGATCTAACGAAGTGAAGTTGGCGCATAATTCTATGAGTTCCTCCTGAACGGCCAGAACGGCCTCGTACAACTCTCTCTGAGGCCTGGTGAAGTGACCGCTGACGGGCCAAGTACGAGTCAGATCACTTGCGTATCCATGATATTCGCAACCTTAAGTGTTAAAAGTAATTATAACTAGTTATATTATGAACTGATAAAAAATAATATTTTAACAAGAAACATACCAGCATCCATTAAAACCATTTCACCCCCTAATATTCTTTGATTGTTTGCAGTGTAATGAATAATATTAGCTCTAGATCCTCCAGCTACAACGGGAGGATAAGCAAGATGTTCTGCTTCTCTGATGCGACATTCAAAGTCCATTTTTGCATAAAGCTGCGATTCGGTAACAAGAGGATGCGACGACTTCATGACTTCTTTCATTGCTTCGGATGCTATCTCTGTACTTTTCTTCATTAATTTAATTTCTGCATCTGACTTTATTAATCTCAACTGCTGAATTAGAGGTCGGCAAGATTCGAAGCCCGAGTGACGACAATTTGCTACAAAATCTCTCATCACTTCGTGAATAGGTAACTGAGGTGAACTTAGATAATCATACCACAGTATAAATTTTTGATTATCATAGATAAATGAATTTAAAAACTTTTCTAACTCTTCTATATTATATGCGCTGTCTATCCCAAGAAGATCAATAGCACCATCTGGTCCCGATCGCGGTCCTTCCCATAATTCAGTCTGAGCAACTTTTTTCTGTACAAATAAAACACTTTTATGCTCTGGAAGAGTTTTATTTGGTAATGAGTGAAGGATCAGAACGCTGTCTGGTTCTTGAAAGCCAGTCATATATAAAAAGTCTGTATTTTGACGGAAATGGTATGGAATTTTGTCTGTCATGTAAGCTCTCGTCGCTGAAGGTATAACCACAATGTGATTCTGAATAGTTGATGCAGTTTTCAGCATGTGTTTCCAAATATTTTCCATCAGCCGAAATCGACGATCTCGAAACTCCTCTTGTGTAAGGCCCGGGACGACGTGTCCCTCTTGCATGAGATGTGGATGCGTGTGTGGTGTGGGCTGTCCATATGTCCGAATCAACTTTCGTTTCTGATTAGAAGCCGTTGCAGTCTGGCACCATCTGTAAAAAGTTTTCTCCAATCTTTCCGTAACTTTCAGATACACATTTCCTGATAAAATAAAAAAGAAAATGTTATAATAATATTAATCAAAAATTTGCTCTTTAAATAAGAAACAAAATGAAAGTAAATAATGTTATGTCATTCTGTTGCTGTGGATACTTCAGTGTTTCCCTTTCCAGTTTTAGGCTAAGACTCCACTACCATAAAAACTCCTCACCGTAAAAGCTTTTAATCACGTGACCTATTTGCGTTTGCACTCGGATTACGGTGGAGGTCCAGCTAGCACGAAGTTTTTACGGCGACAGTGCTGCCCAAGTGTCGAACGTAAATACTTCTTCGCACGTGAATTGGTGAAAACGAGAGCATAGTAGTTTGGTTGTTCACAATTGTCAGTGTATAAAAAATTTAAAATGGATCAGATACAAGCTAATATGATGTTTAAACTTTTTGCTGGACAATTTTTGTTGCTTTCTGCACTCATGAAACGAAAGCAATGCAAGCATCGTTTTTGGGTGAGGCCTTTATTTCGGAATAGAAGTTCCTTAGGTTATCACAGTACACTTATGCGTGAACTTCGTTTTCAAGACCAGGAATATTATTATGAGTAAGTAATAAATTAAAATTATAGCAAAATCTTATAATGCATAAAAGTTTTATTAGTAGTAACGTGAATTTTGTTGACAGTTTTTTAAGAATGACACCTGATCTCTTTGAGGTGTTATTACGAGTGGAAAATTATATAAGCAAACAGAACACATGTTTTAGAGAGGCAATTTCAGCCAGAAAATGCTTAGGAATAACTTTAAGGTACATTTTATATGATTAGAGCTAGTGACTGACTAGCTTAATCTGTTTTAATTGGTTTAAAAAGTTCATTTTATCATGTATTTTTCCAGATTTTTAGCATCAGGGGAAACGTACAGAAGTTTGTCATTTGCCTTTAGAGTTGGCAGACAAACAATAGCAAAAATTGTTCCAGAAACTTGCCATGCTCTTTGGACTCACTTAAAATCAGACTGCATGCAATTTCCCTCAACACCAAATGAATGGAAAGGTATTGCAGAAAATTTTTTAAAAGCTTGGCAATTGCCACATTGCTGCGGAAGCATTGANAACCCGCAATTTATTATTATTTATTATTAAATAAAATACTTATTTACGTAAAATAAATTATTATAGCTCGAGTGGTACGGCGAACCGCCAAGTAAAAATAGTGCTTCGCAATTTTTACTTGGCGTTTATCCTAAATTCCAATTATGACCTTGTCTTGTAATATAAATTTTCTACTTGGCACCAATTATCTAGCAATAACTTTACAAAGTTATTGCTGACATATAGTTGACTATAGTTTTTCCGTTTTCAGATTGAGAGATCATCCGAAGGATGCTTCGGATGATCTCTCTTCATACGCGGAGCGAGTCATACCTATGGGATTATATATATATTTTAATTCTTTCCGCCTTGTGGGAATTACGAGGGCCTCTTTTAGCCATTATGGGTTCGGCCAGGCCCACAATGAGGCGGCCGGGTGGTGAGGGACAGAGCCTGATGTATCCAGACGGCCCACCGTCCCGAAAAATTCCTGGGTATTTTTCGACCTGCCTGGAATCGATCCCGTGTCCCCCAGAAAGGTAGATTGCCATTTTGACCACTCGGCCATCCGGAAATTCCTATGAGGATTATCATTTCTGGATATGATAATCTTATAAGTATTCTCTGGTATAAATAGGATATACTTTTAGGCAGTGTCAAATTGAACATTTAGGATGGGCAACAGATCCTTGTTGACTCCAACTCACTTGCTATTCTTTAAATATCTAGAGATAATCTCGAGTGATAGTCAATTGAAACATGTTCCTTCTCTGACACCAATTGCAGGAGACTACCTCCTAGATCAGAGAATGGGCAATCTTACAACAAATTTTGAACACAATGCTAAAAAAAATGCAAATTTCAAAAAGTGACGAGTTAAAGAAAACCTACAATCTTGGGAACATGATGAGACAGCCAGATGTCTGAAGTGGTTAAGGTGTTGGCCTACTGCAGTGGCTGATTCGGGAATGAACCCGGATAGGTCGATAAATCCTAGACAATTTACATGTATGGTCCATTCCGGGTATGTTGACCCATTCTTCACCACCCTGCTGTCACCATTGCAGACCTGGTGGCAATAACTACGATTAATGCTTACATTATGTATTTACTAGCTGTTACCCGCGTCTTTGCCCGTGCAGATTTTGCAAGCAAACCCCATTTATATTCAGTATTTCAACAACCATAGTAATTGTATGATATTGTTTTAGTTATTTGTCGAAACCGTGTCTTCTTTTTCTTGTTTCTTCTGATTCTATGTCACGACTTGGTGCATTTTTAGACACTTGGCAAATAATTCCATCACCTACATTTACTTCTTACAGAAACGCGTTTCGGGCTTTCGCCCCTCTTCAGTCTGTTACGTCGATAGTTGTGACTTGTGTGTCCGTACTTCCCGCTCCCTTCCCCTCCCCTCTTTTCCCGACTTGACGGACTCCCCCGCATGCCTCGTAATTTGTAACATTACCCTTCTCCGAGTGTTGCACACAGCCTCGCCTGCGACTGTATAAACATTCTATTTTATTTTAATAATTGAAGCCAGTTTTTATGGATGTCGATGCTAAGGTTCTTGTTAATATTATTTTTGTCTAT